CCCAGATTGATCCCCTGCTGGTCCCAGTTTGGTGGGGGAAGTGCCCAGGTTGATCCCCTGCTGGTCCCAGTTTGGTGGGGGAAGTGCCCAGATTGATCCCCTGCTGGTCCCAGTTTGGTGGGGGAAGTGCCCAGATTGATCCCCTGCTGGTCCCAGATTGTCATTTGCCCACAGTGCCCACGATGAAGATGACGAGGGAGAAGATGACGGATCTCGTCGCCTGCGTCGGCTTCGGTCCTTCTTCTTCTTTTTCTTCTTTTTCTTTTTCTTGTCCTTGTCACCTCCACCATCTCCATCATCAACAGGCCAACCGTCTCCGGTAGCAGCATCGTCCACGGCCCCGCGGGAACGGATCCGTCTTTGCCGTAGGGGTCGCTCCCGACCCTCGTCCAACTGTGTGAGGAAGCATTCGAAAGTCCGGATGGAGATGCGGCCAAAGGAGTTGTAGGTATGGCCAAGGGGGTCGTGCCTGCTAAACAGGAGGTGCAGGAGCCGGAGCAAGTTGGGCAGGCTGTTGCTGTTGATTCTGCATCATTTGCTCGACCATTGCCCTCTGCTCCTTGATCTGCTTCTCCTGCTCGCTGATCGTATTCATGGCGCTGTGATATTTCATCTCGGCTTCTCTTTCTGATTTCATGGTGTTCATACGCTGCTCCGCATTCTTTTGGATCTCGCGCCTCATGGCCTGCGATTGGCTTTGAAGTCCGGCAATGATCTCACCATGCCTTGCCTCCGCCAATTGGGCGACCATGGGACCGGTGTCCTGATTCACGAACTGGTTGAACTGGGCATTGTTCTGAGTAGCGTTGACTTGCTGATAGTTCGTCACCTCCTGGTTGACCGTCATCGAAGGATCGAGGTGAACGTTCGCAACATGTTGATTGAATTGAGTCATGGACTGTGGCATAGGGTTCCCCCTTGCGAGGTCGGCCTGGGGGTCATACATGATGATGTCACCATGCCGATGCCGATCTGATCCAACAGGTGAAGGAGATCGAGCACCAGACCGCCCAGTCCTCCCACGGTCGCTCCGAGATCGAAGCGATTCGGGGCCCTGACTGCTCAAAGCTTGTCCCTTCCTGATGAGCTCCCCGGCCACTTGGGAATTCACGCGACTAGTTGGTTCGTATTGCGAGGCGTTCTCATCGCCCGCATGCTCATCAGGTGTGGGACGCACCTCGGTAGGAGGTAGTCCAGGATCGCCATCCATAACCTATAGAACAGGTTAAACAACCAGGAAGGGTCACCAATGAACCCTGCCCAAAGCGCGCTTTTCTTGAGCCATGCGCAGCCGTAGCAACGAAGCTGCGCTAGTCAGACACTCATGCATTTGGGGTTAACATGGTTGATAAATACATCACGTTGCAAACTACACTATCCTTCTTGCTTTTCGGACGAAGTGGTGTCCGTTTTTAGGCAGTTGACCACACGTGGTAGTTGACTTTTCAATTGTCACTTGACACATTGCCAATGGAATTTGTAATTCGTGCTAGCACGGGTCCTTGATAGGAAGATCCTTTTGTTGCCGGGCTGGCCAAAATAGAAGAGATTTGATGCAAGTCCTTGCTTCCAGTGGCATTCACATTTGGTTGGTGTGTGATTCACATGACTCACATGTGTCATTTGCCTGAGGTGAGACTCCTGAGAGGGCTGAGTCTGAGAGACATTTGCTCTGGAAAAAAAGGGCAGACGTGAAGCCCGCCTAGCAATTGACAAGTGACAGCGCGCCATTTGAAGTGGCAATGCTTGCTGGGCAATCGTCAATTGTCAAGATGCCAACTGTAAACCCAGGGTGGGAGAGCTCACGCACATGCTTAGCCTAGGTTTTTTCTTTTTGAATCAGGTTCTTTTTTCCCCTCATGAACTTACAGAAACCTACTCTATCCACTTTTTGATACTAATTGAATTTAATGAAACCTACCGGATCTAAACCTACCGGATCTATGACCCACATGACCACTCCCATTTTCAGTTTGAGTGGCATTGAGTCGTTTGATGCTTGGTTGCAAGCTAGAGAGCGGATTTGGAGTTGCCACGTCTGGCGATGTGGAACCCCCCCGTCTGCCTGCTTGGTTTCAAGAACGGTTGTGTGCGCAAAGAGCGGTTTCTTGCATTGACGTCAACGTCATGCTAAACATTGGTTTCATCAAGCCCCGCTCAGTGCCTTCAAGTGCACGGTTTTGTCTTGGCTAGGCAAATGGAGGGCCAAGAGAACAAACCGCAAGTTGTTGGGCCACTTACAGCAGGAGCGGGGCAACCGCCAGACCCGCCAGACAGCGCTCGGAAACCAAAACCCACCAGCGCGGCCCCGTCTGCCCCCACAATCGCAATGGCACAGCCACCGCAAAGCAGCGCTCGGAGACGAAATCCCACCAGCGCGGCCCCGTCTGCCCCCGCAATCCCACTGGCACGGCCACCGCCAAGCAGCGCTCGGAGACGAAATCCCACCAGCATGGCTACGTCCGCACCCGCGAACGCTCCCATCGCGGAAGGCTCCGACTACATGAAAACCCATCGCAGAGATTTGTTTGGGAACGAGGAAGGAAGTGAAGGGAACAAGGCGTGAATGGAATGAAGGGACATTGAAAGCAAATGACGAAGGCACTGAAAGGAAACTAAAATGAAGGGACATGCAGGGACATTGAAGAACGAAAGGAACTGGAGGGAAATGAAGGGAAACGAAGAGAGACGAAAGGACATGAAAGTAAGGAGGGGCATGATAGGAAATGAAGGGAATTGGGCTGCAAATGTAGGGGCATGAAAGGAAATGAAGGGAGCTGAGCGGATGAAGCGAAATGAAAGTGAAGGGAATGCAAGGAAACCGTCGGAAAGAGAGCAGGAAACTGACGTGAAATAAGGAGGTGAGGTTGAAATCCAGGGACTTAAAGGGTTTTTTCTTTATTCTGGTTTGCCCCCGTTGTTGAGGGGGACCAGAAGAACTGAAAGTTGCTTTGCCCGGGGTGGAAATTCCAAAAATCAAATCATTTAAGCATTTTTTCAATTGGTGGCCCACTTGCTTAAAAGCCTCCAATTTCAATTGGTTGCACAAAGCCCAAAGCCAGCTGAAACCTCTGAAATTTGAAAACCATCCCCAGCCCTAAAACTGCAAATTCTTTATTAAACCGTGTTTTAAAAAATGCACAGAAACAATCAGGACAAGGCTGCCCCTCTGAACCACAACAATACCATTCTTTGGGGGCCACATTAGTCTGCAAGCCCCCAGCCCCCCCCCCCCCCCAGAAAATAAGCTATCAGTTGCTTTACTCAACAGCATTCCCCTGTCAATTGGTGGCCCACTTGCTTAAAAGCATCCACTTTCAATTGGCGGCCCACTTGCTTAAAAAATCCACTTTCAATTGGCGGCCCACTTGCTTGAAAGCATCCAGTTTCAATTGGTGGCCCGGTGGCCCACTTGCTTAAAAGCATCCACTTTCAATTCGTGGCCCACTTGCTTAAAAGCATCCTTTTCAATTGGTGGCCCACTTGCCTAAAAGCCTCCAATTTCAATTGGTGGCCCACCCACTTGCTTACAAGCATCCACTTTCAAGTGGTTTTCAATTGGTGGCCCACTTGCTTAAAAGCATCACCTTTCAATTGGTGGCCCACTTGCTTAAAAGCATTCCCCTTTGAATTGGTTGCTCAATCACAAAACCCAAAGCCAGCTGAAACCTCTGAAATTTGAAAACCATCCCCAGCCCTGAAACTGCAAAGTCTTTGAAAACCATCCCTGGCAGAAAGGCATACCCTTTGAATGGTTACGGAAAGAACTGAAAGGGAAGTGACTGCAATACTAAAGTAGAATTGGGTCTTGAATCCTCCATTGTTTGGACGTCCCAAAAGTGAGTCTACTTGTTTCCAGCGCCTTCATTGTTGAGGGGGGGCCCCTTCATTAATCAAGTTCTAACATTACACTTTTCTGGCCTGCCAGCTTGAAGCTCAAGCAGAACAAACAACCTTGGCTCATGAACAGTCTCCGAATTTAAAATCCTTGATCTGACGCTGACGAACCAACATCCCTTGTAGCAAGCTGCTTGACGCCTAGGCCCTGATCCTGGGGTGGGCGAACCGAAATGCAACGCGCCATCCCGTCAAACTGAAAATTCCATTGCCTTGTGATCATCTGCTCGCGCACGCGACTTGTCACAAGCTGATGCAATCAGAGTTGCCAGCTGAAAATCCTAGCAGCCCGCTGGAGGGCTTTGGAAGTGATCTGACGGACTCACTAACCTGAATTATGCCTTACTAAAGCTCACTGGACTCACGCAGCAAAGGAAGCCGTCGCAGCAGCTTCTCGGCCTCGCACGAATCCCCGCCCGAAGGAAGGAACCTACGTGAGCGCCTTGGGTCGTGCGTTCAGGGTGGACAGCAGCTCCTTGAGCTGCGAAGCGAAGCTCGTGCCAAATCCGCGTGTCCCGTCCTGTGGGATCGCCTTGATGCCATGGTAGGCCCCGAGGACAAGGCCAATGGCTACGGATCGTGCTGCATTGTCGCCCCCAACCATCGCGTTGGCCTGGGCGTTGCCCAGTCACTCTGAGGTCTGACAAGGTGCACCTTGAGGCCGCCGATAAGGTCTTCTTCATACCTGTGCCGTGACTGAATGGCACACCGCAAGCCATGAATCGCCTGAACACGTGGCAGCATAGCCAAGCCACTTCAAAATTATGTAGATGCTACCCGGAAGCGTCCCTTCGGTGGGAGATGCTTTGCCCACCTTCCAAGCCGCTGGCACTTTGATTCGGAAATGGGTCTGGCGAGCTTCAAGTCCTGCCTTGATTGGCTCACTCTTACCCACATCCCAGAGGCGGGCCATGGAAGTCATCGCCAAATCATCGACAAACTCCTACGGCAAACCCTTGTGGCATCACGTGAAAACGGTTTCAAGTCTCCTCTTTGGACAAAGGCTTTGTGGGGTCTGTGGCCTCCTGAAACTTGGCAATTCCCTGCTTGGCCTCACGGCGCAGGCTGGCAGGCTGCAACGACAGTTGGCAAATGCCTTCTCCTTGTAGCGGGGCATCTGCTCGGCCACCTGCTCAATTGCCTGACACTTCCGAACCGAGAGCGAGAAACACTCGCATAGCGCATGGACAATTAAGGGGAGCAGCGAACGGAATGCGACAACCAGCCTGAAATCATATACAACCTCCCCCAGTTTGCTCCGGTCAATTCAAGCAAACGACGCCATCGGAGCGACTCTTATCCCGCTTGCCTGCCGAGGCGTCAAGCCCTGATGAATGACTCGGAAGGCGACGCGAGCAAAAAACTCGCCACCGCCGAGGGCTTCAGAGTTCCTGTGCGTGAACATCAGCGTGCCTTGGTGGGCCCAAAGTTACCGAACACAGCACCGATGTTGCTGACGTGGCGCGAGCAGCTTTCGCAACCCCTTCCTCCGTGTCAAACACGGCATAAGCAGCAGCATGTCTCAATGCCATTGCCTAGCGACAAGGGAAATCACATGTTGTGCTGCAACAGCTGAAACATGCAGAGGTTCGTGGCAGCAAAGACTTGTGGTAGATAGATTGGCATGTGGGGTCGGTCGCACGCTGATTGCATTCAAGGTGCATTTGAGTTGCCGCCCAGCTGGTCATAGGGTACATTCTGCCACACCTGCAGGCAACCCTGGCTCGCACATTTCTGATGTGGGCTTGGGCATAGCTCCCTCATTTGTCTAACAAGGGCCCCCTTGTGCCAAACACATCTGTGCCAGGAACCCTGTATTCCCTCCCCAGATTCGAAATGGGAACCCCCAACGCCCCCAACACAAACCTCCAAGCAAAGTCTCTCTGAGGCCATTCGCAATGTTTCGACATGCGCGAAGCGTTAAAGTGTCGCTCCTGCGCCAAGGTCTGCTTGGTCTGCGTGCAAAGCCAGGCGCCCCAGGACTTCGCCGTCACTCGCTCTTTCCAATGCGGAATCAGGCCATCGAGCCTTGGCTTCGCTCGCATGCACGAATGCAGACGGGTTTAAATCCACCCCGCTCCTGATTGGAGACGTATCCGAAGCGCTTCTGGAAGCCAAATACTCCAGGCCTATGAGGTTGTACTCGCCATAGTCTGTCTGATCTCCTCTCAGCTTTGCATTTTGCAAAAGAGGATCGGCCCATGCTTCACCCATGCGTCACTCATGGCGTCCTGCTTTCTGCCCAGGGTGGTAATTCCGCCTGCCCCATCCCACGCCGTGCGTTGTGCCGCCCATGGATTCGCCAGGGGCCATGAAGCGCTGGATGATGCCGCCATATGCCTGAGTGGCACGTAATTCAAGTCCAAGAGTACGGACTAACGGGGCCTGCTTGATAACCTTAGCATCGTACTCGTAGTGGGAACCTTAGCTGTGCGTAACCCTGAGCACTTCTGGCCTGCATCAAACAAACAACACTGAGACACTGGTCTTTCAAATGGTGGTGCGAGTTTAGCACAGCTTGACAACACAAGCTTACGCCTGGGTGCACCCAACACCCCATTGCAACACTCCGTCCCCCAGCTGCTGATCATCGCCAAGGTTGCTGATTGCAAGCTAGTGGCCCAAGCAAAAGGCGTCTGCCACCAATGCACCAAAGAAGGCACCTGCGACCGACCGCTTTTCTGTCTCTGACGCTTGCGGTAAAGTCGAGCGTGAGAAACTGACTTGATACCTCGGCGTCCCACAAAGGCCAAGTCTGCGGGCGCCTTCGATTTTGTCACGCACGGTCTGCGAAGCCACAGGCAAGGCCTTAGGATGGCAACTGGCCCATTCGCGACTGAAATTGAGCCGAGAAGCCAAGAGAAGGAAGGGAATCATGACTGCTTGAGCCAAGAGCTCTGAAGTCAAACACAAGTGAAGTGCGAAGCATGCAAAGCTGTGAAAAGGTGTGCCTGTGCTTTTTGCCTGAAAAGCTGGCGTTGATTCACGTGCTACAGCAGCGGTAGGGCCGCCAACTCAGCATGCGCAGCTGAGGCTCTCAACAGCTGAGGCTCTGAGTCGCTTGCAAAGTGTTGAGCCGAGAGCGCCTCGGAGACCCAACGCGCGGGCAGCGAACTGGGACAAAGTGCTCAAAGGCAAGCCGCATCGATGTGGAGCGCCTAGCCGGAAACATGCTGGCCAAGCCGCCTGGCCGCCTGGCCGCCTGGCCGCCTGGCCGCCTGGCTGCCTGGCCTCAAGCTGCTTGCGCACCTCCATGGGCGACGCCGGTGCCAGCCTGGCAAGCGCGGCAAATCGCACGCGCACGCATGGCGCAATGCTGCTCGCACGCACCAATTGCTATTTGGGAACAAGCGAAAGATCCAGCTCGTTCATCACGTTCACGAGGCATGCCCCTCAGACTACCCTGTTACACATACTCGCTCCGTGTATCCCAGGCGCTAGGGTAAAACTCATCAGGCCTCTCTAGGCTCACCATCCACTTCCGCCAGTGCTTGGTGAGCCAGCTGCCTGCCTCCGAGGAGGTCATGCTGTTGACATCTGGCAGGGGGACCCCCAGCACATCCGCAAAGAAGCGAATATTTCGAAGCTGCTTCAGGTCTGGATGTGTCAGCCCCTGGCACTGCTTCTCCTCCTTTCCATGCCAAGAGCTGCAATGCTGCGGGACGGGCTCCGCGCGCGGCTCGTGAGGCTCTGTCCGGGGCGGTGGCGGTGTCCAGGGTGTGGCAGGCGGCGGCGCGTCGGGCAAGTGCATTGGGGCAGCGCGAGGGCTGTCCAGCAGCAACTCCTCAAAGCTTCCAGCCCAGGCATCCCGTTTTGTCAAGAAGAAGGACAAGTTGAAGAGGCTCCGAATGGTCGCCGGCACGGACGTCAGCTCGAACTGCGATGTGTTGGTTGGCCCGCGCGGCTCCTGAAACACCGCGCCCTGGCCAACCCAAGGGGAGATGAGCATCGCTGAGCTCCGCAAGCCTAGCCTGCGGAAGTCAAAGCGTGGACCGCAATCTGGGTGCTCCCCCGGAACAATGCAAGGAGACTCATCTGCCGGCACGCCCTGTGGGGGCACCATGTGGTCATAGTAGCCCCCGGCATCGTCGTAGGCCACAAACATCAGAGTGTGGTTCCAAGCTGGTCCAGCCCTCACGGCCTCATAGACATCCTTCAGCAAGCGTTCGCCTTTGGCAATGTCATGGCAAGGATGGTCGCAGGCTTGAAGCGGCGGCAGCACCCAAGACAGCGCTGGCAGCGTGCCATTCGCAGCCTGCTCAAAGAAGACCTGTTGACTCATGAAACGGTCTTTGTGCCTTGCTACACCGATCATGGCAACATCTGGCGAGGAAATGGCTGAACCAGAATCAGGATCATGTGGATCTTCACCGTGGCACGGCTTTCCATCTAACCCACAAGTACTGTTCATGAAGAAGCTGAAGCTGACATTGTGCAAGCGCATGGAGTCGTAAATCGTGGGCTGCGGGAAGTAAGTGCCGTTTCCGCCGCATTTCGGGTAAAGCACATTGGACGTCATCCCGCAGCTTGTGGCCGACTGGGTGAACAAATGATTTGGGCTGCTAGCCGTCGGTGCCGCAGTAAATAATTTGTTGAACACACCAAAATTCCTGGCCAGCGATGCTTTGATGGGTATCTGCTCTGGGCTGAACATCGTCACCGCAGTACCGTTTGCAGAGGCACCGTTGTATGCCGAGAAATTGTCCCCTTGAGCGGAATAAGGGTAGACATGCGGATTCCCCGACTTTCCGAACTTTGGGGCGAATGTGTCGTAGCTGGGAGCTTTTGAACACACATACGGCGCTTCTCCACATGTGATTTGAATCTCTCCTTTGCTTGGATCGGCTGGGTCTTTTGGAATTGCATGGCCCTTGATACCCTCAAATCCTGGCAGATCCATGCAACCAAAGAAGTTGTCAGCTGCATGATTCTCCATGTACAGCACCACGAGATGGTCGATCTTCTGCTGCCGTGGCGGCGGGTTGCTCAGCGGCAGCATGTCCAGCTGCTCGCTGGCATGCGGCAAGAAGCGCCGCACGTCTTCCCTCAGCGCTTCCAGCGAGGCCTGCACCAGGCCAAGGCCGACGGGCCAAAGGCGCAACATTCCAACCAAATCCCAAGGGCACGGCTGACTTCGAATGTGCCAAATGCCTAAATGCCTTGAGCCGCAGCTTGCGAAACGAGTGAGCCTCGTGAGCCTCGTGAGCCTCGGGCATTTGCAGCTTTCCGGCAAAAGACCGCCTGTGTGTGAAGTCTCCCAGGCCTTGCTTGCCTCCGAAAGGCTGCGCTGGTCAAGGAAGGCAATGCTGTTCCATGCGTCCAAGTTTCCCCAGCTGTCTGTCCGTATGCTGCAGGCATTGCGGTATGAAATCGCTTCAGCCAGCACCTTGCCGCAAGAGGCTGGCACATCGACTCTCGTCAGATTTGGGATCTGGCCCAAGGCAAATGGGCCAAATGGGCACCTGCCAAGCGCGCCAAGCGCGCCAAGCGCGCCGTGCCGATGCCTCGTTCCGACTGCGTGCCTTTGGATCCCAGCAGCTGCTGGGCACACCTTAGAGTCGAGGCTGTCTGTCAAGCTCCAAACTCCAAAAGTCCGGGTGGTCGACAGCTTCACCTCGGATCCCAAGCGCGGCGCTTGAGAGCCGCGTGCCATTGAGAGCGGCGCCAGCAGTTCATAGGCCGCCTGCTGGGGATAGGCGCGCATCCAAGCCTCAGGGGCTCAAAAAAAAGAAAGGCCCTGGCAACCTGAGGTCTGGGCAAACACGAAGAGGTGCGGCAAGTGCCTCTGGTCCGCACCTCCACGCACACCACTTAACTCAGCATATGAAGAACCAGAAGCAAACCGGCCTTCACCACGCAAAGGCTTGCAGCCAGGAACTGAAAGTCCCTGAGGGCAAGGTCTACAAAAGCAGCATGCTTCATTGGCCAAGTCCCAGTCTTTGGGCTTGAACACTTCCTGACCATGACCTGAGGAACGCAAGTCTCCAGTGCAGAAGGCCGCACGGCGGTTCCACCAGCAAAACAGGCGAAAAGGTCAGGCGGCGCAACCCTTGAAGTGTACGAACTCAGGCACTGCGAGCAGCAAACCACCACATCTTCGCGCCCTGTTGCACTCAGCATCTGGCTGACAACCAATGTCTCAAACACCTCTCGCATAAAAAGAGTTCCTGGCCCAGCGGATTTATCACAGCTTCAAGTAACAAACCAACGGCCTTCCGGTTCAGCGTCTCTGGCCTTGCAACCACATCAACCATATGAAGAGGTGGCATCGGAGCACATTTTCTGGCCTCCGGCAGGTGCCTGGCAGAAAAGTAGAAGAAGCACCTCGAGCTGTGAGAGGACTTTCCCCGTTGCTCGAGCTGCGCTGCTTGCAACATTTGCGCTGGGGGTTGGGACAAAGCTCTTGCTCCAGCGCAGCACACCTCACCCCGCTACCACACGCAGCGCCACATGGCTTCAAGCTGCACCTCCTTGCAGAGGGGCCAGGCCTCAAAGTGAGAAGTGAACTGAGCGCCCGCGACGCCTCTCTCAGCTTCGCACCAGGCTTCGGAAGGCAAGATGCCTGCGATGATCCGCGCTGCACCTTCAGGCTAACAGTTAGAGCCACACATGCACACGCCAGCCCACCTTGACACTGGCCGGCCCAGGCTGCGCTCCTCTGGAAGGAGAACTTGCGGGCTTGGTGTTGCGCCGCAAATGGCCAAACTAAAGTTGGCTCCTCACTTGCCGAGGTTTCGCCTTAAGGAATGGAGCTACCCACTAGCCCAAAAGCTCAAGATGTTCAGGCCATGACTAACCTCCATCACCCAGCCAGCAACGGCCTTGCAAGGGATCTTTGTGTAAGTGCCTCAGCGCCTCTGGGGTCACCGTGGCCAGTTTCACGGACAGCTCACTGCCTGCCATGGCGCGCACGCATTGGACAGAAAGCAGCTGAAGGAAGCACCAGCGTCGCTGCCGGAGCTTGAACTCGGCGCCTCGCACCATCTCACACCCAAGCTGTCCATGTGCGCTCTCTCATGCAATCTTTGACATTCAGTCAACGTTGCGCGCAAACACGCTAAGGCACAAGAAAACTCTGCCTCGCAGTGTTGCCTTTTGCTTCTTGCGCACCACACAAATGCCCTGATTGACAGTATCACGCTGCGAGTCAGTCAGTGAGCCTGGATTACTTTGTGACAGCTTGTGGCGCAGGACCTTGCTGCGCATACCGGAGTCTTAGCAAACTTCGGCGTCTGGACAGAACCAGGGCAAAGCGTGCGAGCCCAAAGCTCAAAGGAGCCCAAAGCTAAGGCCCCTTTGGCTTGGGGACGGCCTGCAAGACAAAGCCAGCTGCGGTTCCGGCAAGGAGCATCGCCACTCCAACGAGCATCGCCGCATTTCCCCCGCGCATGCGCAGCAGCTCCAGGCATAAGACCGTTTGGCTCCAGCACACGGGGCTCTTCCTCTTGCGCGTGGACACGATCATCCCAAGGCCCGCGAGGATGAACCAGCAGCCCATTCTCAGGGACAGCTCGGAACCCCCTTTGCCCAGCAAGCCCACGATGTAGGACCAGCGTGGCAGGAGGACGGCACCTCCAATGAACTCGAGCACCCCCACAATTTGAGACAGATCATGGCGCAAGAATCCAGCAGCTTTCATGGCTCCGACGCCCATCATAAAGATACAAAGCCACCAATGCAGGTAGGCCTGTCTCTTCCCCCAGCTTGGCGGCCATGGGGGCGGCGCTGGGAACAATTCGTCGCTCGCCATTGCAGAAGCGGACTGTGAGCAATGTGAGCAAATTGGCTTCCCCCACTTGGAATGCGCAAGTCTGATTCAGGAACCGCAACAGTCAGAACCGCTCGGGCAGAACCCGCCTTGAGGATAGCAAGGGCAGCACGCAGCCTGGACACCTGCAAGGCAGACTGAGACATGCTGCAGCGTCCCAGCAAAACCTCTTGCACAATCGTCTGCACATTTGAAGATTTGTCGCTGTGTGGCCTGAACGTCCGCGCTACGAACACAAAACCGCTTGTCACCGTTTTTGCTGCCACTATCATTTTACAAGCCGCAGCAGCAGTAGCAGTGACCCGCGTGACAAGCTTTGGTTGCTTGTGCCGCGGTCCCGAAAAATGCGGAGAAGTCTTGCCGGGGGCGCCAAAAGCTCGGAGGTCTGCGGGTGTCCCCGAAGGACTGCCTGCCATTCAGCTGGGAGCGCCCACATGGCCCGGAGCACGCACGCCTCCAGCAGCAGCTCACAACAGTCTGTGCTCAAACGCCTCAGGAAGTGAGACGGAGAGAGAAAGAACAAGAAAAAAAGACGATACGAATCTAAGTGTCGAAGGGCTGCGTGGGCCCATAGGATGCGGGCGCGTCTGGCCATGCAGCATTGTCTGCTGCCGCCTGAGCAATCTGAGCAAGAGATCTTTTGAGCCGTGCAGCTCTGCACTGCCTCTGACCAGCGGCACAGCAACTCAGCCACAGCCTGACTGCTTTCAACCCGACTTTGTGCGCGTGAGTGCCAAATTCCAATTGAGGCTGCAGCCGTGACAAGGCGAAACGTGAAACGGGGGAAGTGCAACAGCAGTGCTGCTGCTGAAAGCTGCACATCTGCAGGCAGCCTGCCACCGTGAGGATGCAGAAGACACCATGAAGCTATCGTGTTTTGGGCAAGCAACAGCAAGTTTGGACATGCGCAAATCTGGGCCCTTGTGTACTCGCCATTGGGAAGCAAGTGCGCCAATCCTTGCCAGTGGCGGCGGCTTCTCCTCACCTGTGCAAAGCACCCAGGCAACCCACCAACTCATGGAAAGTGCTGCCTGGCATTCCGGCGACAAACGGCACTAACAGCGGCAATGTGCTTGCCAAAAGTGTCTCCTGACGCATGAGCTTGGAACCAGAATCCTCGCGGGTCCTCGCGTGCCCACTCTGGGCCCCTGGCATGTATACCTCTCGCCAGCGACGCATTTGCACCAATGGCCGCAAGTCGAAGGTCGAGCTGAGCTGTCCGCTGCCCGGCTTCGCAGCCTTCGCCAACTTCAAAAGCACCGCCTCGACTGCTCGCGACTGCCACTTGGCTTTTCTCACTTGCAGAAACTGTCGAGGCAGGTGCCAACAGGAAGCCGGTCAGCTGGGGCTGCGAAGAGCCCAAGTACCTCGACTTGCTCCGCTGTGCACAGACCGTCCCATCCCATCCGGCACCACAGCATCTTTGGCCAGGTGGTTGCCCAACGCAGCACGGTGCCAGGACGCGCCTGGAAATTTAAGCGGCACCGCGCAGGCCCTCGCACGCCCGATCCGCCTCCTCGATGGTGGTGGCCAGGCCTTCCCTTCGACTCAAGGCCTGAAACGCACGAACGCCCTGCCCAGCTGCCCAGCTGCCCAGCTGCATCTCGCACCTCCGGCCACACCCGGCCCAAGCAAGGGATGGGCTCTGGCTGTAGACCTGGCGCTGCGCGAAGCGCAACGCTTTGAAGGAAACCTGCCTATCAATGATGCGGTCAGCGGTATGGCAAGCCTCAAGACAAGACAACGGCATGTCGACTCCAATGAGAAGCTATGGCTGAAGCATTGCGGCCGTGGTGGGGGCAAGCTCCTGAGCATTGCGGATGAGAAATAAGTAACGTAGACTTCAGCTCTTTTTGATCGCTGGCTTGCGAATTGGCTTCGTACATTTTAGGAGCGGCGTTCACACAGCCAGTCCTCCTCATTCTTCCCTGGGCAAAGGCTTGCGCACGTCTCAGAAACACCCAAACAGCCGGCGCCTGTGCCGGATGATAGTGCTGATGTGACCTGCGAAATCCGCGCTTTGCGCTTGTGCGACAAGCGTACCAGCTGCATGCCAAATCCCTCGCCGATCTTGCCTGCCTCTGCCAAACGCCCCACATCTGCATCCAGGCTCTGAAATGAGGACTGGCGCAGGGTCAAGCTTTGAGTCGGCCAATGCAAAACGACACAATTTGCCAAGCCGATCAAGCCTACAAAAAGCAGGCAAACACGCAGGCAGAAAGGCAGAAAGGCAGAAAGGCAGAAAGGCAGGCAAGCAGGCAAGCAGGCAAGCAGGCAGGCAAACGAAACATGTCCAGCGTTTCACACCTTGCTTGTGGTAGACAATCACTTCAGAACGCTAAACAAAAATCACTTGTGAACGCTGCCACTTTCGATCACTTCCGAACACTAAAACAAAATCACTTCAAAACACTGAGCACCCGGAACGCCGAAAGGGTTGCAAAACCCGGCCAGTCAAAAAGATCACTTCCGAACGCAGGCGTCCCAGCCCAGGATCACTTCCGTACGCAGGCAGGCGTCCCAGCCCAGGTGTGCAAAATCTAGTGGTTCTGGGCAGGGTGGGGGGGGGGTGATAAGCACACCCGCTACCCGCTGAAGCTCTATACCCAAATGTGCAAATTCATCTGGTTCTGGGGGTGGGGGGTGGGGTGGGGGGGGGCATGATAAGCACACCCGCTGAAGCTCTATCCCCAAAGGTGGGGGGTGGGGTGGGGGGGGGGCATGATAAGCACACCCGTTGAAGCTCTATCCCCAAATGTGCAAATTAATTTGGTTCTGGGCCGGTGTCTCGGTGCTGCGCGTGGCACGTGGTTCCACTTCCAGCGTTCCGAAGCGATTAGTACGTTTTCCGGCGTTCCGAAGCGATTTTGTTTTAGCGTTCTGAAGCGATGGTTTTGCCAGCGTTCAGGAGCGACGCACTTACCTTGCTTGTTGTTCAAAAGCCTGTCAAGAAAACGGCCAACCCCCAATGCAAATGCATGAGGTTCACAAGCACAAAACTGTACATTTGCAAATGTTCCACGTTCACTCTGGTTTAGTTGATTGACAGTCTCCAGACTCGAACAAAGAACAATACGAAAAACATCGCACAAGTTCCCCCTTGTTTCTTAACCTAAATGCTGCAGTCCAAATTGCCTATGAATCCTGGCGCATCAACATTCACACATCAAAGCGCAGCAGAAATCTTCTATCTGAGGGTTGAGGCGCATCGGCGACAGAGCTCCGTGCATCGGGGATCGGGTCTTCGGATCGTTGGGGCTTGACGTGGCCTCCGTTCCCAGCCAAAGAGTCCGGCCAAGCATGGCAGTCTGGCAAAGCCGCACCACAAATGATCTAGCCTCGAGTTCAGCGCATAGGGCCTTTTCAACCGAATGGCCCCAAGTTCTGTGCATTCTGAGGGGCACACACACGAAAGCAATGGCACAAACTGGCGGTGGCCGAAAACGGCTTCACCTGCCAAATCGCTATGCCCCATGCATCGGATATCAGCATAAGGCAAGTCCAAAACCACACGCGCTGCTTTTGCACCATGCCCAAGCGTTCGCGTGAAACACACCGATGGCCAAAGTTTGTGCGGTGGCCAAGCTGCGCCCGACAGCCACTTGAAGTAACCTGAGACTGAGGCCAAAGCTGAAAGACTCACATCGTATTTTCTTCGCGCAACCTTGCGGACCTATTGCCAAGAAGGTTTGCTGCATGAAACACAGGGAATTAGATTCTTGAGCTTGTCCTCCTTCCTTGACCTGAAGCTGGATGTCCCTGGATGTCCGAAACAAGCCAAAATGGAAGTCCTGAGAAAGTTGCAAGCGATTCCTCCCGTCACAAGTAGCTTGATTTGCACATATCGTTCCTGCCATGTCAGCTACCTCCACGGGTTGCCAAACTTGGCTCAGATCCGACAAATTGCTCCCTGCGGACAAAAAGCGGCGCCCCGAAACGTGCGGCAGCTTTCTGCAAAATAATATGGGCAACCAAAATGGCAGCCGAGCTATTTGGTGCTGAACATTCATAGGCCAGGGGTTTTGTTTGCAAAACACGTTGATGAGGAACGCTTGGCATTCAGATTGTCATCCAGGCCGTGCAATGGTCGAGGGATCTTTCACAAGCCGAAGCAGGATTCCATGCCTGCTGCCTTGATCTCTTCTCCACTCATCACTATGGACCAAAATGAAGGCACACGTTTTTCTGGCGAACAGGCATGGTCTGTCTTGTCACGCAGCGTGCCCGGCACGTGTAGCGTCAGCATCGCAGTTCCTTTGGGCGGAAGAGCTTCACGGTTTCCACGCGCTCCGCGGGCCTGGCTGAAGCGGCTGAAGCGGCTGAAGTGCCAGTGGCGCCAGTGAGTTGGATTTGACGAGGCCTGACTTGCGGCAGCTCCTTCTCCGCCTCCGATTTGCCACTTTGCGACGCTTGACGCTTGACAGTGTCCCGGCCTCTTGCTCCTCCTCCTCCTCCTGCTCAGCTAGCTGGCGGTGCATGCAGTACCTGGCACAAAGTCATGCCTGCCTTCACCAGACATGAGAAAGCTATATCAAGCAAGCAGCAGCGGAAACAAACAAGAAGTCAGGGTTGGCACGCAGCGAGAAGTCCCAGAAACGTGACAGCGCCGACAGTACTTGCAGCCGCGACAACCTTCGCAGCGTGTTCCCTAAAAATTGCACATCAGTGCTGCTTTGAATGCGCCTTCATCGCGGCGCCAGACCCGCTCCTCAGGGGAAAGCAATCACCGCACATTCCGAACGAACATTCTGATGGGGTGTGCAGCCAAGTGGCACGAGCTCAGTAGATGTAGGCGCCAGTGTCCCAGCGTAAACATGCGCGGCCGTAGTAGGAAGAAGCCCCAGAACAGTACCTGCGAGCAGTCAATGTGACTGCAGGACTGGGCAGTTCACAAGGCCACCTGGCACAAACGTAGACCAAGGGATGTCAGTCAGCAACGCCAGAGCGTAGTTCTTGACCATGCAAGGCAGCGGTGCTATCCTTGCCATCTTGAACATTCTTGCAGCCAAGGGCAAGCACTTCCCTGAGCACCAGTCCTGACCAGGAAGACTGAGGCATGGCCGCCCTTCTCGACACCTGAATGCTCGCGCTGCCTGTCTCAGGCCAAAGCCAATGCAGAAGCTCAGACGCTCAGACTCGAACTTCTGGCTGCTTTCTGTGCAACTGGCCAGGACTGCATGCGATCTCGCAAAGACCTTGGAGTGAACAACCTGATGCAAGCGCCCCACAGTGGCTGAGCATTCTACTCGCGGATATCCTGGCAGCCTCGGCGAGCAAAGTGGCCGGCAATGGGATCGATGCATCCCGAAGCGTGAAGCTTCCGAGCTCCCTGCATCCCACCGATCTTCCCACGCCGAAGGCAGCAATCGCGCCCAGGGCTTTGCCTACGAAGGCCAGCTCGAGGCCCTGGGCACGCGAAAGGGAGTCGCGCAATCGAGTCGCGATCAAAGCTTTGGCCTTTTGGAAGCCAAAGAGGTAGCCCTCGCCTGTCAAACACCAAGCTCCGCACGTCTTGGAGCTCAGAGCCCGGCCAAGCTCGAAGAGAATGTGCCCGGGCAATGAGATCACAATGGACGCCGCATGGAGTGGAACGAGCCTCGCGCGTTGAACTCTCCCCATCCTCCAAGCTCGCTCTCAGGCCAGGACGCGGCTGCAGGAGTGGCTTTGATGATGTCCACCATGCTGGTCTTCTCGAACAAAAACCTCAGTGCTACCCGTTTTTTCCTGCAAAAAGCTTGGCGCTGTCCAAAGCTGCCTCACCTGCACGTAAAACTGACAGGTGAACGAGAACCCTGGCCTGGCTACATTCACAATACAATTTGCACTGTTTGCATCATGACTGGCTAGCTTTCCTATTAAAGCCCAACGCTCCAAGTCTCGGTCGGCACTTGCAGGACCACTGCATGTTTGGTGGGCGGGTGGGTCTGGCCGAAATGAAAACACTGGCTAAACTACGTTGGCAGACTCGCAGAAAGCGTGCTAGCAAAATGGTGTCCAATGTCTGCCTGGCCACAGCGTGCCAATTAACATCATGTTGCATGCGCTGTGCTCAGTCCGCCGGGATGTTTTCGTCTGCCGAAACACAAGATAACGCAAGGCGTGCGACCGCCAATTCAGAAGCAGCACGCTGGGCTCGCTGCGAAGTCCCGTGGGCGTTCAGAGTCTGGCTGTGCCACGACCCATGTACCTGAGCCATGTGCACAGTAAGTCTGCAAGCTGTCCGACGAAGCTTGGAGTCACACGCTAGGCTCTGACAAACCTGGCATGGCTGTGGCAAAGCACGGGTGAGTCCAACCATGGCACGCAGGGCACCTGCATGCGGGCTCTCCAGGAAGGAAGCCTCGCAGAAGTCCATTGCATCTCGCCCTGGCCTTCCGGCTCTGGGCTCCGGACTTTGGCCGAGACTCGGGTGGAGAGCCTCCGAACTCTGGGGCCAGCCCATGGCAAAGCGGAAGTCTGAGCTTGGAACATGTCCAGGCCATCTAGCCCGTGTTGAGGCCCTTGGGCAAGGGCTAGCTCATCTAGAATGAATTTATGCTTGACAAATGATTCCTTACCTAGCTTCGGCATGATTTCTGGAGGCCAACGCCTTTCTATGCTGAAGTGCCATGCAGAATCCGCTGGTCTTTTGCGCGCTCTCAGTTGCCAAGCCTCCCGTCATCCAATGGGCGGAATGTGCTGGGAGCACCTAGCTTCCAAACAGTCGGCTGACGTCGTGCTGTGGTGCTGTGGTGCTTGGCTGAGGCAACGGCATGCGTGTGGGTGTGGTCATCATGGGGCAATGACCACAACCAGTCGAAGAGATGAAGGGGCATGATCTATGCAAAGCTTGGGCCGCTGAGGAACGTGAAGCAATGCCCTTGACTGACTGACCGTGCAGCTACGCATGGCACTAAAACCAAGGCAAAAGGCACCTGAGAGTCCTCTGCAAGAGCCTCGGCCCCAAAAGCCAAGCACAAGCACTCGGTTGTCAACCTAGGCTTCAAACAATAGATGCCACAGCGCTGGCGGCCGCTTCTGGCCCTCGCGCCCGCAACGTGACGGTCACACGTCTCACCGGCTTTGCCTAGCCCTCGGCCGTTGTTGGCGAGGGACCTGGCAGAATGTGAGCCATGCAGGGCGCTGCGTGGCAAGAAATTCAGAAGGGGCCGATCCTTGCGCCACCTTTGCCAAGCTGCTCCACCCTTGGCTCTGTTGGCTCAGCAGCGCCCCTGGCTGTCGTAAGGCCCTGTCGCAGTGAGCGCTGCAGACCTCAAATCTGGCAACGCCTTTTGCAATCTTGTTTGTCGCTGGATGTCCCGGGGGTGGGGCGCAAGTCGTTGCAAATGCGTGGGCGAGGCATCTGCCGGCGCCGCGCCTGAAGAAGCATAAGACGCAAGGCATGCGCCCTTGGCACCTTGAAGCCACGGGCCTGCTGCCAGCAAAGCGAAGACGCGCGCCTCGGCAATCTCAAGGCCAACGTGCCGTTTGACTTTGCAGGCCCGCCCCAGGGCCCAAACCATGCGCAAGTTGATGGAGTCAGCAAGCTGCCGAAACCTCAGCGTGTACTTGCAAATGCTTTTGGGGATGCTTCCAAAGGTGTGCAGGTGTTTCTGGCGAAGTGTGAAGTAACACTGCTGATGATGAACCTGCAAATTGTGGCGCCACCATGCACCATCTTTTCTGGGCCGAGAATCTTGCAAATGTGTCGCCGCAAGTTGAGATGTCATAAACACGGGTCCAACATGAATCGAAGGGTTTGCTCCCTTATACCGGCCCGGTTGGTCAGGTGCATGGAGAAATGGAGGGCTAATGATCTAATGCGGATTGGAATTTCTGGCAGTAGAACTGCAGCTTCATTGGGCAAAATTCAAAATACAAGTGCGAGTGACATATGGCAGTTCAGCAAATTCAGAGCGGGGTGGTCCTGAGTTTCGCGGAAAACCTCTTGGCTAGTCAACCTTAAATCAAGGAGGGGCGGGAAGGGGTTGAAAAACGAATGCACTGAATTTAGGAATATTCCTTAAAGTTCTAAAAAATTGCTTATGTTCAAGCTGGCCCCATAAACGTTAAAATGCCCTGAAGCAGCAGCGCCCAGATGTAACTTTTGGCTGTCCCCAACCCTACTTTTTGGACGCGGTCCAGAAGCCTGCGAAAGATTGATAGAAAGCAATACCTGCAAACAGCCGAATACTCGGGTCGGAACAAAAAACAGTGTGGGTCAGCCACGTTGCGGCCACCGACCGCCAGGAGGGGCGTCCACGCTGCTCCGGGCATCGCCGTCCCGCGCGTGCAGACTTCGCCAGATGGTGAAACACTTGACTGTTCAGCTGTGCGACTTCCAAAGGACGAGCAGCACGCGTCTGGCCAGCATGTGCCCCTTCGGGGCACCATCGAGGCCCAGGTCACGGCGCAGCACATAGATTGCAAGTCGCTGGGCAAGGTCGATGCGCTACTGCACCAAAGCTCCCGGTCTGATTCCACCAAGGCAACGTTGAGCAGGAGCCACTGCTCCAGAAACAAGGTGGCCATGCTTGCGCCCACGGCCGTCCGCTTGCGGACTTGGTATGGCCGCGGGGCATCCGCGTCTGTCCGACACCCACGCAGCCACTCTCGAAACTCATTGTAGACGGACGCTGGCGGCAGGCCAGGTACTTCTTCAGGAGCACGTGCTGCGGCGCTGTGGCAAAAGTAGGCGCTACCAGATACTTCGTTCGCCCATTGAATCTTTGCATTGGCAAGCGTTGCAGGAGCATGTGCCATTTCCGCCAAAAGCCGTCTTGATGTTTTTCCACATGTCCCCCAGCGTACTTCATCAACACCCCGCCACCCAGATTCCACAAAAGGCTTTCGTGGCACGGGATGGCGTTCAAGGTGTCCTTGAAGTATACTTGCAGATTGCGAGCTTCTGTCTCGGCCGCCGGTGGCAGTGTCATAGACCTCGCCGTGGCAGCCCGAGCCGCTCCGACGGGCAAGTGCGGCGTGCCCTGCCGCGAGTCAAACGGAGCCAAGCCGCAGCCTCTGGGTGCCAGATCCGCCGCCGCCAGCCAGTCCACGCAACTGTTTTGCAAAGATGGCAGCCACATCAGCGCGCGCATGTGCGCCCGGTGCGCCGACTGCGCGCCAACGCCCGAAGTGGCGGCCGTGGCGCCGGGGCCAGTGACAGCCGCGCCAGCGGGACCAGTGACAGCCGCGCCGGCGGGACCAGTGGCAGCAGCGCCATTGAGCCTTGGAGGCCGGAGCGTCTTGGTGGCGGCGCGGGGGCGGCAGCGCCCGGCAGCACCCATGGCCAGCGGAGGCAGGGCCAGCAGGGGCAGGGCACGGCGGGGCAGCGGCAGCGCCCAGCGGGGGAGCAGAACCACGCGCGCGCGCAGGGACTGTTGCATTGCCCTCCACAACAGCTGCTATTGTCCCCGTAACGGTCTGCCACTTTCGCAAGGGATGCACCCGTGACAGCTCGAAGCCGCCGGGCGCCTCTGCCGGCAAAGCCGCCGTGACGCGGGATTTTCCAGTGCCAGGTTTTTGTAGCAGCGCTCGGGCACAGCATCCCTCGCAGTTGTTGCTTTGGAAAAAGCGGACTTCGCTCAGAACCCGGCACTCGCCCCGCGCTCACGGGACGCTCGGCCGCAGCGTGCCACTGCAATTGCCCGGCCAGAGTCAAGAAGACTTCAGCTGCTGCACGATAGTGTGCCTTGGCAGCATCGATGAACTTGAGCCTCTGCCGTCCAATTTCAAATCAGTTCCCAAGCCTTCCAAGTTGAGCCAGGAGTCGGCATGCATGAAAATTGCGATGCTCCTTCGGCAACCTCTCGCGCTCAGCAGGCAGGTTCCAGGGATGCCATGCTCGCAGAAGAAGTCCGCCGACATTGCTCGGCGTGTCGGATACCAAAGAGAGGACTATTGGATACCTAAGAGAGGATAGAGGATAACCCCCCCCTTAGTCCCCCCGGGACACGTCAAATACGCATGGTTTTTCGGTCGCCACCCCCCCCCCCCCTCCTACCGCGCGGCAATTTGATGACGTTCCACTAAACGTAGTCTTCGGGGAGCCGGTGTCGCAAAACAGGGGTCCCAGGCTCGATTCCCCCTGCCGGCTTTTTTGCTGGCTTGGGCTTCCTACATCCTTTTGCCGAAAATCTGGAAACTCCATGTTTTTGGACGTCTTTCATACATTCATCCATTGCATTCATTTCATACATTACATTCATTACATTCCTTACATACATTACATACATACATACATACATACATACATACGTACATACATACATACATACATACATACATTACATTACATACATACATACATACATACATACATTACATACATACATACATGCATACATACATACATACATACATACATACATACATACATACATACACCTACATACATACATACATACATATATATATACATACATACATACATACATACATACATACATACATTGCATACATACATGCATGCATGCATTGCATTGCATTACATTACGTTACGTTACATTACATTACATTACATTACACGTTACATTACATTACATTACATTACATTACATGCATACATTACATACATACACACATACACACATACATACATACATACATACATACATACAGACAGACAGACAGACAGACAGACAGACAGGCAGACAGACATACACATATATATATATATATGCATACATACATACCAGAGAGGGAGACTGGGCATGGAGAGGCTTGGGGGGATGGGGAGGATGGGGAGCAGAGGGAGGGAGAGAGGACGACAGAACACACAAGGGAGACAAGGGAGAGAGGCAGAAGGAGAAAAGGGAGAGGACAATGTCGGCGGACTGAGCCGGAGGCCCTAAAGTCTAAGAACCTGCTAGCATACAACACGCCCATGGTGCAGCCAAAGCCGCGCGTCTCTCGGTGTGGCGCAGGCGTGTCCAGCTCCTCTCTGTAACTTCGCAATGACTCGATGAAGCACACATCGTCTGCTCGATGCTGACACTGTCAGTACTTTCCGAAGGACGGATGGATCTCACAGGTTTCCACACTCGGCAAGCGTACTTCCTTCGTGTAGCAGCTGAACGTGCACAGCGCTTGCGAATGCACGGGTGCCACCATCTGCGCAGCAGAGGGAGACAGATGCCGCAGCATGACGTACGCGTTTCTGTCTGCAGTGTCCAATGCGTGGATTCTGCTTGTGTGGGCATGCGCGCCATCTCTCCATTGTAGCCTCACTTGCCACGCTTCGCCTTCTTGCCTGCCTCCGCCTGCGTCTCTTGCCCCTGTGCCTTCTTCCCTTTCTTTGGCTGTCCTTCGCCTGCTGCACCTTCTTGCCTCGCCCGGGCTTTGGCCCTTTGGCGCAGAGCCCTCCATGTCTTGGGCAGGCTTTGCGGGCTTCCCCTTCTTCCCAGTCGAGGCCGGGGCTGTCCACCAGGGTGTCGATGACGACCTCCTTGCGGCCGCCACGGGCAAGGTACTCCGTCGCGTCCACCAGGTAGCTGTGGAGAGAGAGGACGCATAAGAGAGAGAGAGAGAGAAAAGAGAAAGAAGAGCAAAGAAAAAGCAAAAGAAGACGAAGGGAGAAAGAGAAGACAGAAGGGAGAGAAGAGAGAAAGGAGAGACAATTGAGAGACAGGAGAGACAGAAGAGACAGGAGAGGAGAGAGAGGAGAAAGAGGAGAGAGAGGGAGAGAGAGGGAAAGAGCGCGGAAAGAGAGGGGTCAGAGAGGAGACAGAAAGAGGTAGAAGAGAGATAACGAGAGAGAGGGAGAGAGAGGGAGAAGAGAGAGAAGAGAGAAGAGAGAGAGAGAGAGAAGAGAGCGAGGGAGAGAGAGAAGAGAGCGAGGGAGAAGAGAGAGAAGAGAGAGAAGAGAGAGAAGAGAGAGAAGAGAGTAAAGAGAGAGAAGAGAGAGAAGAGAGAGAAGAGAGAGAAGAGAGACAAGAGAGAGAAGAGAGTGAAGAGAGAGAGAAGAGAGAGAAGAGAGAGAAGAGAGAGAAGAGAGAGGAGAGAGAAGAGAGAGAAGAGAGAGAAGAGAGAGAGAGAGAGAGAGAGCGAGAGAGAGAGAGAGAGGAGAGAGCGAGGGAGAGCGAGGGAGAGCGAGGGAGAGGAGAGAGAAGAGAGAGAAGAGAGAGAAGAGAGAGAAGAGAGAGGAGAGAGAGGAGAGAGAAGAGAGAGAAGAGAGAGAAGAGAGAGAAGAGAGGAGAGAGAAGAGAGAGAAGAGAGTGAAGAGAGAGAAGAGAAAGAGAAAAGAGAGAAGACAGAAGGGCGAGAAGAGAGAGAAGAGAGAGAAGAGAGAGAGAGAGAGAGAGAGAGAGCGAGAGAGAGAGAGAGAGAGGAGAGAGCGAGGGAGAGCGAGGGAGAGCGAGGGAGAGGAGAGAGAAGAGAGAGAAGAGAGAGAAGAGAGAGAAGAGAGAGAAGAGAGAGAAGAGAGAGGAGAGAGAAGAGAGAGAAGAGAGAGAAGAGAGAGAAGAGAGGAGAGAGAAGAGAGAGAAGAGAGTGAAGAGAGAGAAGAGAGAGAGAGAAAGAGAGAGAAGAGAGAGAAGAGAGAGAAGAGAGAGAGAGAGAGAGAGCGAGAGAGAGAGAGAGGAGAGAGCGAGGGAGAGCGAGGGAGAGCGAGGGAGAGGAGAGAGAAGAGAGAGAAGAGAGAGAAGAGAGAGAAGACAGAGAAGAGAGAGGAGAGAGAGGAGAGAGAAGAGAGAGAAGAGAGAGAAGAGAGAGAAGAGAGGAGAGAGAAGAGAGAGAAGAGAGTGAAGAGAGAGAAGAGAGAGAGAAAAGAGAGAAGACAGAAGGGCGAGAAGAGAGAGAAGAGAGAGAGAGAGAGACAAAGCGAGAGAGAGAGAGAGGAGAGAGCGAGGGAGAGCGAGGGAGAGCGAGGGAGAGGAGAGAGAAGAGAGAGAAGAGAGAGAAGAGAGAGAAGAGAGAGAAGAGAGAGAAGAGAGAGGAGAGAGAAGAGAGAGAGGAGAGAGAAGAGAGAGAAGAGAGGAGAGAGAAGAGAGAGAAGAGAGTGAAGAGAGAGAAGAGAGAGAGAAAAGAGAGAAGACAGAAGGGCGAGAAGAGAGAGAAGAGAGAGAAGAGAGAGAGAGAGAGAGAGAGAGAGAGCGAGAGAGAGAGAGAGAGAGGAGAGAGCGAGTGAGAGCGAGGGAGAGCGAGGGAGAAGAGAGAGAAGAGAGAGAAGAGAGAGAAGAGAGAGAAGAGAGTGAAGCTTTGCCGTCATACAGCTGGCGCGCAAAAAGACGTCCTCGTCTAAGAGCCAGATTAAGTGAGACAAAGCCCGGCCCGTAGACAGCCCCGACAAGTTTTTGCAGCCAGCCGGCCAAAAAGAAAAATGCAAAACTTGCCTAGCTCTGCGACACTTCATCCCTCACTCAAAACCCCCTTGATTAGCGAATTAAAGCCTGTTCAATTTGGGCTAACTAAGTTAGCCTCGTGGCTAAGGATGTTGCACCGAATTCCGCAGCGCCCCTCCAAGCTTGCGGCAACAGGCCCCCCCTAAATGAGCACCCACCGCCGTAAAAAATACGGAAGGCAGGCCTTGTTTGACACATCGAGCAAATTACCAATGTGTATGAGGGTCTTTGCCAATTCAGCACCACCCTTTTAAATTCGCGGCATAGGCAAAGCCTTCTTCCCCCCCCCCTCTGAATATAAGCAAATTAGCCCTGGCCCGCGGCACCTGCCTCCAAATGGACATTATTTCATGCACCTCCATTTAGTTTTGGCCCACCCCCTCCAATTTGAGGGCAAAAATCTCCTCTTTGAGTTTAAGCCATCCAGCACTGCATGTAGAAATTCGACACCTTGATTGGAGTTTTCGTGAAATTGCTTTCTTCACACCCCGTGATTTTCTCTAAGCACATGTGTTCGGGGAGTTCGCGCGAAATTCAGCGCCGTCTTGCATTTCGAGCCACTTGGCAAGATCTTTAAGCCAGCCCCCCACATTTGCACAACCAGTCCGATCAGAAGACAGGAGGCACCTTGAGAAACAGCCCTTATAGTCATCCCTTGCTACATTCACGGAGTTGTTTCAGACTGCCCTCATTCAAAACAATCAATATCCATTTCAGAATCACTCCCATTTCAACTCGAATGAAAAGCATGGCAAGGGCGTTGACCACACAGGCCCAACCTGACCTGTCAGTTCTGTTCTCAGATCATGACGGGCTGGCCGGGTCAACCTGAGATCACAGGCCGTGCTGGGCGCGCTGGGCGCGCTGGGCGCGCTCGCGCACGCTCGAAGCCTGCCTGGATAGGCCACTCAGCACGTCGAACTATGCCACTCAACGTTGCGACCTGCACAGCCCTGGACTCTACACAAACGGATTCCAGTGCTTGGCCTGCGAAGCCGAGGGCTGAGAAAAAGACCGCGCGGACCTGCAAGGCAACTGTGCAGCAAGGCAACGTGTCGCTACCATTCATCTCTGAAGTCCTGAGTTCCCTGCCTATGCCCTGCCAGCACTCCTGCCAAGCCATTGCTCCAAAGACTTCTGTTATGAAATGCAACGCACGCGCGCACACACAAACAGACTACCCTACCTAGCTACTTGCAAACAAACATACATGCCTGCGTATGTGCGAAACACACACACACACATTGCATTACAATTCGCCATTACGTTACATATCCTTACGTTGCATGGTGCACAGTACCAAATGTGTATCACGGAATGTCACCGCATTGCATTGTAGCACAGTACGTTGCGTTACAGTGAGTACACTGCATACATACATACATACATACATACATACATACATACATACATACATACATACATACATACATACATACATACATACATACATACATACATACATACATACATACATACATACATACATACATACATACATACATACATACATACATACATACATACATACATACATACATACATACATACATACATTACATACATACATTACATTACATTACATTACATTACATTACATTACATTACATTACATTACATTACATTACATTACATTACATTACATTACATTACATTACATTACATTACATTACATACATACATACATACATACATACATACATACATACATACATACACACACATACACACACACATACATACATACATACATACATACAGACATGCATGCATGCATGCATGCATGCATGCATGCATGCATTCCATCACTTCACCCCACGTGACATCGCATCGCATCTCATCATTGCATTTCATTACGCTACAGTTTCTATACAACACATACATTTATGAACACTTGGATGTGCAGTTGGAATACGTTGCGCACCTGTACATGTTTTTTATGCACACATAAATGCATATGTACGTACAAACAGGCAGGCAAACAAACAAACACAAACGCATGCGTACACACACACACACTTTGCATTACACTGGCATACGCTTCGTTGCGCTACATCACATGACATTACATTGCACAAACTACATTACTCGCACACACACACACATACAGCGAGTACAATACATTCCATTGCATTGCATTACATTACAGTATTGAATTACGTTACATTGCATTGCGTTGCGATACATTACATTGCATTACATTGGATTAAATTGCATTACATTGCATTATTGCAGTACGTTGCCTTACATAACATTACATTACATTACATTAGATTCCATTGCAGCACAGTACATTACATACATACATTACATGCATACATGCATACATTTCCTAATCATTACGATATATTCCGATACATTGCATACATGCAACTCTGTCCTGAGCGTCTGGATCGCTCGGTTCCGGACGTGTGGGTAGAACACTCTTGTTCGGGACATCTGGAACATTTTGATGGATCTCCGGCCCGCCCTTCAACCTCCGAAACCCACCGGGGATCTATGCACATCATTCTTAAGCCGCCTGGTACTGAAAAGAATAGCTGCGAACACCATGACCACCCTTTTGGTGGCCCGATCCTTGCGTGAGCAGCAAGCAGCCGAATCCTCTTCACAGCGATGTTTCCCGAAGTGCCCTGCGTGCTCCTCTCTCTCTCTCTATCAGTTGTTCTCTCTTTCTATCACTCCTTCTCTCTCCCTCCCTCCCTCCCTCCCTTTCTTTCTCCGGCAGGAGGGTCTGGATGGGTCTGGAACGTAGGGTCTGGAACGATGCTGGAGGTGATCCGGACGTCTGGAATGAGGTGTGGATCGCGTTTTGCGGACCTAACATCTTTGGCCACATTGCACTACATTGCATCACATTACAATACAATAGGTCACAATACATCAAATGCTACATACATCCTCCACACATGAAACACACAGGTTTACATAAAAGCATGCACTTCCACAATGAAAACAGTATACTTCTTTCGGCATCTGCATCACGTTCTCCTGGCGGCCATTTGAACACAATCCCCCACAAAAGGTATACATGCCGTTGCCCTGCGTTGTCGTCGTCTATCTGACCGTCAGTGTTTCACTGATTCACTGGAACGTTTCAGCCTATCATGCCATGATGCTGTCACGTTGACACACCTGCCATGGCATTGGGGTATGAAGATTTCTGAGCAAGAGCCTACAACATGAGCTCGTCTCCCCCAGGTGAACAGCTCAGAGATTGCACCGTGGCGCTCTCCTGCAGAGGCTTGCTCCAGGACAGCCGCCGCTCGCAGCCGCATCCAGCCAGGCCTGGCTCAGTTGCCAAACAGGGCCTATGCCCATCACGTGTCTCATCTCATGGTCCACCTGCCCAGAGTGCCGTGCGGACCACGGATGGCATTTGCAGCCCCACCTGTCCGAGCACATTGCCCTTCTTGCTCCCAGGGTTTTGCCAAGGCTGAGACGTGGGAGCTCACCCGCCTGCACAGGCGAACTCTGAGACTGCGCAAGCCTGGCACTTTGCGCACGCCTGCATCCAGGCTCGCAGGCAGAAGTCCCAAATCTGCGAGTCAGCTTGCACCTGGCGGAGCATCGCAATGCATAATGCATCACGCCTGCCTTGCACATTTTATCTAAAGCATGCAACTGCGCAGGCAACAAACCTCCCCACTTGACGGGTGTTCGCATGGGAATGGACCTGGCAGCATGCTTGCGCGGTCCTGCCTCTGCTTGACCTGGCCATTTTGCTTGGTGTTCATGCTCCCCCGTCACTCTCCTTTTTTGAGTGATACTTTTGGCCTTGCTGCTGCAGCTTGCCATCCAAAATGTCATACAAGGAGGCCTCCAAGGACGAGTGCAGTTCCATTGGTGCTCCAGCACCAAGTGTGAGACGCGAGACAAGATCGCTCAAAGCCTGCAAACAATGGCTTCGTTACGGCGGCCTGTTTTCTTTCCTCGGATTTCATTTCGACATTTCTGGGATTGTGGCACTTCATTTCACCCTTCGGCTTCACTTTTGGGGCCCGGGGCGCAGTAAAACGGAAAAACGGCCCGCCTGAGACACGTTCTCTGGCACAGCCTGATATCGCACCGATCCCAGCTATACCCTTGAGCTCTCCAACGCCTCACTTTTGCATTGGAGCAGTTGAAGCAGGCACGGCCTTGAAGCACAGGCGCTCTGCCCTGACAAAACCTGAAAGGCTAAGCAGAATCTAGACGCTAAGAAGTGGACAACACCAAATCCACGTGAGAGTGCAGCTGGCATAACGTTCCAACCTCAGCTCTTGCCCGGTATTCTTTGAGTTCGAGTTCTCAAGGGCCCCAGCCAAGCGGCTCGCCTCATTCTGGCTCAGAACCTTCCAAGGCGGAGGGTCCAATCAGCGAATCCAACGACGTGTGGCCTGCTCGCTCCCAAGGCGGGACAAATAGAGTTCCAGCAGCTTGAGGCCTCAGAGTTGTGTGGTGCAAGTAAACAGGCCCATGGTAAGCCCGCCATCTTCGCGAACCTCGCCACTCACATGGGACCTGGCTATCGCGCGCTTCGAGCTTCTCTCATGCGAGCTGCTTTGAAAACGCGCTTCCCGACGCCGAGCTTCCGACAAAGCGCTGCGAACCTGCCAAGGCGGAGCCAAGTAAACTGTCAGCTCCATCTGATAGGACGGCCTGCAGCGCCAAAGTCGGAGCAAAGGCGGACACTGCATCCTGCCAGGGCAAAATGTTCTCCCGCCAATTGAACACGTGGGCTGGTACAGTGAGCTGATTCGGCTGGAAAGCAAAAACATGAACATCAAAATAGGCGGCACATTTTGAGGTTCCACCCCAAAATGGCTCGCCATAGGTTATGCAACCCATGGCCACATGTCCCCGTGAGATCTGGCGCCTGTGGCATCGCCTCCAAAAGAAACGCCTGGCCCCGGCCGCCATGGGAGTCCACGACTCACCGCTTCGGCCTCGTGCCTGGAGCGCGCCTGGAAGCTTCGGAGGGCGGCCCGGACGTCGGGGCTGCCGTCTGTTGCCACAACCACCTGGGCCGTTCAGCATTCGCCGTGTGGCAAAAAAAAGGACGCCAAGAGCGTTATTGATCGATTCGTCTTGGGCTTTTTGCCTAATCTATAGGTCAGCTGCCAGTTCGAACCCAGAGTTCTGCCCATAACCCGCTGTTCACCGAATTTTCGCCGGCGCTTTTTTTGAGACCTGTTCGCAGGCCCCCAGCCAGACCTTGCGCCACGCGCGCTTCGGCTTTCCGACGCCGGGGCCCCGGCGGTTGAGTCCAGGATCCGTGCAAGGTTGACATTCAATACCTGCCACGCGGGCATTGAATGCCATCCAGATTTGTGGCTAATCCTGCCAGCTTTTCCCCTGGGTGCTCTCGGCAGAGCTCCAGCAAACCTCGCAACCTGAAAGCCCAACCGGAGAAAAGAAGAAGAACGCCGGAATTCCTACCTGCCCGTCCTCACATTTCCCGCAATGCGACTTTGAGGCTGCAGCGCATCACGGCGGACCTTGGGACTGTGGTGTTGCAGCTGGCCCAACCTCAGTCCGGGGCCATCCCAATTCCCTATTGCCAACCGCCCCGGCCCGAGAACTCGGAGCTGAGCCCGTGGCAACTCGACCATTCCAAGCCTTGCCAATGCCTTGCAACCTTACGCCTGGCACCAGAGCGCCCCTGCCTCCGGTGGGTGACTTCCTCCCCCTTCTCGTCAAGCGCGTGCTGCGCAGGCATCTGGACCTGGCTGAACTTGCATGTGCTTAAGCCAAAGAAAATGGAGCGCCAGGCCTTTTTCACCTTGACATCCGTCTTCATTTCATTTGTAGGTTTCTGCTTTTGCTTGCCAACCTCCGCCGCTCGCTGGTTCTCGCTCACTAGCTCAGGGTACAGCCTTGTTCTTCACTTTGGCAAAGTCTTTCGGCTTCCCCTTTGTGCCGCTTTTGACGCCCTTGTTTTTGCTTAACACCTGACGGTCTCCGCATTCCACCCTCGCTCCCTCGGCGTGCTCCATGCCTTGGACTTCTTCGCCATCACGCCTGCCTGACGCTCCGAAAGGCCAGCGGGGCAGTCTCAGCAACGAGCAAAGCGTTTCCGGCGCGGCTTCTTTTTTCTCTTGCAAACAGTCTCGGCATGCAAACTTTGAATTGGGCAAGGCAGTTTAGATGATGTTCCTTGCTCGGCTGCGCCGCACTCAACTGCCACGGGAAAAATGTGTCCTTTCAGCTAAAGCCATTTGCCGTAGCAGCCGTGGTTCAGCCGTGGGTCAGCGTGGATCAGCTAGTCTTATAGCGGGCATGGGGTAGCTCATGCGGTGCGCTAGCACTCTACAAGCTCTCATCTCCTGGTTGCAGGAGTCCTGCCCATCTCAAAATTTGCCCATCAGCCTCAAGGATGATTCCAGAGAGGCTGCATTGTGGCAAGCTGCGCACACATGGGACAGCAAGAGCCTGCCAAGCCCTCCAATCGCTTCACTCACCTGGTGACATGGCAGTTTGAACCAGACCATCTTAATCCTGTTGATCAAACTCACCAGCCTACAGAGAAATCACGCCAGCGGTCAAACTCCTGAGGTCAAATGGTGTCAATCGGCCTCTCTCGATGCATGGCTGAGGTTGGTGCAACCAACAGAGCCATGCAGCTGAGCATCTTTGCGGCGCTGGCTGCGCACTGAATCATATGGTTCAGTGGTAACTTGGGCAAAGCGCTCGAAGCGTTCAGGGATCTCCTTAGATCTGAAGTTGGGCATCAAGCTCCACGATTCAATGCGAGCATCTTGACCAGTAGTCATCTAAGGCGCAAAATCAGCAGCTGCCAACCTTTTCAGGAGCGGCAAGCCAAGACGTTCGGTCTCTTTGCGGCGCGTGATGAGAAGCAGGAGCTCCTCGCAGTGCCACCGGGTAAGTCTGAGAGCGACAGACCTCGAAGCTTGAACCTGAGTGGCCCGAGTCACCATCCACAAAACGGTCCACGTCCTGCACCCTAACTTCCTAAGGTTAGCTGGTCCTCGATGACCTTCGGATCGATGTATGCCCGAGGCCTGCACACCACGCAGAAAAGAATAAACAAAACACAGCGAGGGCAAGCAAAAGATCAGCGGAGATCTGAGCTGCCAGGTAAAGAGGCGCGAGCGTGCGTCGTGTGGGTCGCGTGCGTTCGCCTGTTGGCGTTCTTGAGACCGAGGGCTTCGTCCAAGAGCGCGGCCGCCATGTCCTGGGCGGAGCACCGGAGCAGCTCTCGGCTCGGGAGTTACTCGTTGCCGAGCGGCCAGAAAACCCAGCTGCAGGCAGCATTGCACCAAGTGCCTGAGATTTCGTCGCTTCAAATAGGAATCAAATTAGCGAGAAAAACTCTTACTCTCTCCGGGATGCTCGTATGTCCGGGCACAGGGCGTGCAGCCAGCCGCGACCATGCGCTCATAAGTGGAGAGGGCCAGCTCAGGCCTGCCTCGGACACGCAGGCAGTGCTCTCCGGCACCTCACAAAAAGCACTGGTGTCCACTGCTTCCAAGTGCAGCCGCATGCACCATTGCAGAAAGCTGCCGCTATAAGATTCCCATACCTCAGAAACCACAGGCTGAACAGAGGGAAGCTTTCTCTCTGAATTGGACCTGTGCGCTTGGAGCCCAATCCATTCGCCTGACTGCTGCCGACTGGCACATAGGAGTTCGGCTGAAGGTGATACTTCTGCACCATGTCTTCGAAGACGCGCTGGGCTCGGTGAACCTCGCCCCTGGAAGCGTACAGCTTGATACCTTGCACGGCTCCAGATCAGGACCCGAGCGCATGACGGCCACTCGCGCGTGGCTCGAAACGGCGAGGCACAAGCAGCCAGAGTCGTGTTCGATGGCTGAATGGCGAGCTCCTGACGCTTCTTTTTTTCGTGAACGCGCAGAGCGCAGCCTGCCAGGTGCTAGCTTCTCCTTCATCAGGGCCAGGATGCGATCCGCGCCCTGGAAGAAGTTGCGGCTCACTGCCCCCTCTAGCCTCGAGTCGAGACTGCCTGAAACCAAACCAGTGAGCCATCGCCAAGTGGCAGGGCATCCAGCAGCATGGCGTCCGGCTGAATTCTGTCCCCGAGCATCAGCTCAAGGACTCCCAGCGCGTCTTCCACCTGTGACACCCGAGTGACCGCGGAACGCGGAGCGCGGGACTGGGGCCTTGCCAACATTGCAGTACCCGCGGATCATGGAAGAGTACGTTGCCTTGGCGCATCAAGCATAGAAGTACACATGACATGCAAACACAGCACGTCAAATGACGCCACGCCATACACACACACACATAACAAAGCACACCAAGAAATGCTTGAGCTGCGAAGTCTGGCTGGAGCATGTCGGCTTTCAATTGGCTGAAGTACTGCGCTCCTGAGCAGGAAGCCGGCATGGCCGTGACAGATTCCCTCCCCAGACATGGCAGCAATCCAAAGTGCATGGTCAAAAGCGTCGAAATGGTGGCCACACGCGCCAGTTGCCAAGCGCTTGCACATCCCTATCACCAGCACCGCGCCTGCGTCCATGTTGCCGCTCTGAGCGCAAGCCAAAATCAAGGACCTCGGGGGCCATACGACGGCCTTTGAACAGCCGAGGCCTTCAGCCGAGGAGCTTCCTGGTGCGCAGGTCCACTTTGCGCAGGTTACGGAGGCACTTCTCCGCGCTGGCGAGGTCGTGCTTTCTGGCCAACCTCGCGATGCACATTAAGGACGCTCAGGTTCTACACCAATTTGCGGAACTCGTGCGTCCAAGGGGCCACCGGACCAAGGCCAGGACTTGGCCATGCGCTTTTGGACCTACTGCGCAGATGTGCTGACGCGTTTGGCCTCCGCGCGCGCCTTGTGGCACCCACTCACCACGAGCCAGTCGACTCGCAGACTCGAAGTCGCCGTCCCGCACGCAGGCCTGACCGCTGACCGCCCCTGACCGCCCGGTTGCCCTTGTAGGTCTTGACCGCACGGACGGGGGAGATAAGAAGGGAAACGGAAAGGAACGGAACGCGGGCTGAGTCCCGCGAAGGTGTTGGAAACAGTTCCAGCGGTCCCAGTGCGCGATTCACCCGCGCTAGGCAGGAACGGTTCATAGGCGACCTGGTGCACGTGCGAGTGTGCTCTATGGGTCCAAGAGGTTCGAGACTGGCTCTATGGATCAATGGATATGTTGCGAAGTGCTTCTCAAGTTCAATTGTCAAATGTCTGCACAGCTGCATGGAATCGATGTTGCGTGTGTGTTTGCCATTTGCCTTGGCAACTGCAATGTGTAAGGAAGATGCAGAAAGGCGCGGTGGCACTTGGGCCTTCCCTTGGACTCCTGACGCAAGCAAACCAAATTCCTGTCACTCATGTCAAGCCCTAGGAGTTCGCAAGGCAAACTAAAGAGGATGAGCAATCCGGGTGGAAACTGATCCGCAGCCACTCAGCTCAGCCACTTGGAGTGTGCAGCAGTCAGGATTAGTTTGATGATGTACTTGCGGAGGGCTTGTACTTACTTTAGTGGGCATCCGGTTCGAATTCAATGCCAAACTAATCCACAACTAGCTTGTCAGCTAGATAGACAGGCCACGGCCGGCAGAAAATAACATGTATCGGTCAGGGTACATGACGCTTTGATATCGGATACTTCTCAAGTGACAGAACGGTATGGCGATCAAACAGCTCATTTGTTTATTACTCCAGTGGAAGTGGAAAAACGCTTTCACAAAGGGGTCCTTCTTTTACTTGGTAGTCAGACTCAGTGGTCAAAATAAAACACACGCGCGCAGCTGTCTTGACAGCCTAGGTCCCAAAAAGAGAGCTATCAAAGTGCCTTTTTGCAATGTTTTACTGCTTCTTGGAACTTGGAAAAGGACACTCTCACAAAGGGGCCCCTTTTCGGGGCAATTGAGCAGGCCATTGACACACCTAACCTGGACACGCGCAGCCACTCTGACAACCAGCCACTCAGCCACTCAGCCACTCAGCCACTCCAAGTGGCTGAGTGGCTGAGTGGCTGCGATCGGGAAATCCACCAATACGCGTCCAATCAAACATTAGACAAAACATACCTAGGCGAACCCGCCGAAGCATGCTTTTCTCTAACAGCCAACCCCACCAGCTTTCGCATAGAGCCCCTCCCGACCAACCAGCTCACATAGCCAAAAAGCAAGCTCTCCGAAGACTCCGTTTGCCCGGCGTGGCCCGCGCCCGGCGCGACGCCCTGCCTCAAAGGCTTCGGCGTACAAGCCTTCCGGGAGTGCCTCAGGCCGAGCCGCGTGGAGTGCCCCATGCCCCCGGCTGAGCCTCTCCCCGCCTGCGAAGGCTCGGTGAAGTTCTCGGCCAACTCCAAGGCGCGCTGGTCGCGCTTGGCCTATCGCTCGCTCGAACGCGAAACACACGGGGGGCTCCCAGACTCCCAGCGGCCGCGCATGCCAAGGCACGAGTCCCTTCGAGGGCTCACCTGGCACGCGGCAAGTCACGTGAGCGAAAGAGCGTGCCGCATGCGGGTTGACCCGCGTGGCCTTTTGCGCTGATCTCCTGTGATTCCTCGCATGGGGCACAGTGCGTCAAAGAAAGCTCAGCGCACATCAAGCTCCTCAACCAAATCCTTGGAGAAACAAAAACCAAACCGGTCCTGCACCATGGGCATTTCGCTCGCGTTGCGCGCCCCCTTCCGCAGGAGCAGGCCCAAACAAGGACCAATCCTTGAATGGGTGTTCTCTGACAGCTCACGCGGACGCACAGAGAATACAGAATACCCCATTGCTGGTGCAAGGCTCAAGTGCCAGCCAACGGTGAAGGCGGCCATGAGCAAGATCATCTGGCAAGTGGCCCAAAAGCAAAGCACAGCTTTTGAAGCCATCCAACCGATCACAGAAAAGCCAGCCAACTGAAGCAACGCATAGATTGGAAATGAAAAATGTGAACGACGTATCAGTCCCTTTCTGTGTGATCCCTTTCTGCCTCCTGAGCGCTTGCAAAGATGTCATGTAAGGTTCCCGTTCTGCAGTCGGTGGCTTGCGCCAGCTGCAGACTCACGATAGCCTTGGCGAGCATCGAGCTGATCAAATCCTGGGCCCTGGGTGACTCAGGCAGCAGCCAAAGCTGCAAATGTGCGGCTCATTTCTTTTGCTTCACCTCAGAATCTCCGAGGGCTCGCAGCGATGCATGCAAAGTTGAAGCTATCAAGCTAAGCTGCTGATTGCGGAGAATAAACCAAAGGCGCCGTGCGGGGCCTGAAGGTAGTTTCTTATGGAACCTTGGCGCGTGGAGGTGAAGAATCAGCTTCTCAACTTCGATAGGAGATCAAGTCAATCAGTTGCAGTCCGACTGATTCCCCCACAAGCAATCTTGCCAAGGCACGGTCCGAAAACCAAGCTACGTTGCGTCACAGATACTTTGAAGTAGTTAAGCGGAGACTTGATTAGAAAGCTGCGGGATCAGCGTAATGCGCAATGAACATGAGGCTCAAGTCTTGGTCCGAACTGGCGCTAACCGCCTAACACGTGACTGGCCGCCTGTGCTGCAGAGTTCTCCTTGAGCAAAAGCCTCAGCACCCACTCTCCCAGCGCCGGCAAAGCATCACATCATTTGCCATCTCCATCCCTCTCTGGCTTCTCCGCCTACCTTTTTTTTTACGACTTAACTGCGAAGCAGCAACCCGGCCTGAGGCAAGAATGTCACTGCATGGCATTCCGCCAGCTTCCCTCTCTCTCTGATGTCAGCTCCCTCGAATCCGCTGGCTTACGGTGTGTCACTTGGCACTGCTCTATGTCTCATGTGTCAGCTCCGAGTCTGGCCTATGACCCAAGGCGTGGGCGATACATGGCTTGTTGGCATTCCCGCTGCCTTGTCTTCCAACGGACCGGATTGGACGATTCTGGCGCCAAACACCAATGCGCTCGCCGCATTTTTCCCAAGCGGTTCCATGACTAGCTTGAATTGGTTGCAAATGGCCGCAAGGTCTGACAGGTCTGGGATGGTCCTGACCATGCGTCTCGCAAGCAACTTCATGCACGAATTGTCTGGATCTCAGATGTTCTGAACTGGCCGAGGCCGCACAGTCACCGAATAGCCTGCACACACTTACGCACGTTGCGCGCAGTTGCATGGCAATCTCGGCCTATCACTCGGCGCGAGCTCGTCACGTAGCGCGGGTAATGAGGATAGCGATGGTGAAGAAGGGCCTCAGCTTCAGAATGGGCTCGGACCGCCTGGAGCGGATTTGGCATGTGGCCATGGGCTTTTTAAAATCCAAATCGTACCAGTGAACATCAAACAATCCAACCACTGAAATAGGCAACCTAAAATGGGTGGTGAATTCACCGATCCAAAATGGGATCCAATCTGTGACCCACAGCCATGTTTCGAGGCAGGGGCGCGAGCGGCGCGAGCGGCGCGAGCCGAAGAACCTCAGATTGGCAGCGGCACATGCCCGTCTGAAACATCCAAGGCAAGCGCTATCCTGAGCGGCACTGAAAAGCCCCTGCAATTCAGATGCGATCTCATGCCTTCAGACTCGTGCTCTGCCTCCTCTCTCCCGAAAATGGCCTTCAGTTGCAAGGCCTCCCCCAAGCTGTGCAACCTCGGCCTCGGCATCGACTCCCGTTGCCTTTGCCAACTGGCGCCAAAGCAAGGCATGCCAAGGACACCCCTTTTTGGCTCAGCTCCGGGATGCCATGCCCCCACGACTCAACATACAGACGCGGAGCGCTTCACGCTTGGCGAAGTTTGGCCTGGCCACGTTCAGCCGGCCGCTTGCATGCTGGTAGATGCGGGTGGACTTGGGTCAGATGTCAGACGCGAGAGTATCTGGTCAACCTTTGCATCCGCACTGGAAAAGCGATCCTCCAGCTCAGACAAGTGGGACTCGGCCAGAACGTGCAGTGCGTTAACCTTCTCTTGCAGCCGCGCACGTTTATCACCCGCAGGCACTTTTCCTTGGCTAAAAAATCACGAGCCCACGTCCCGGACATTCAACCCAAAAAGTGAAAACTCAAACACTCTGCAAGCAAGCTTCTGAGGGACACGTCTGACCTGTGGCAGATCCAAAGAAAATGGTCTTCTTCAGGCTCAGCCATCAACAAATCACCGCGAACAAAGGCAGCTATGAGCAAAGCCTCGCCAAGGGCAAGCAGCAGGGCAAGAGCCCAATGGCTCACTGTGAAATGTAAATGTATGCTGCAGGCCGCAAGGCAAACTCCGAAAGCCGCAACGAGGACAAGGTGCCGGCAGCGAGCAGAATGTGTACAACGCGGCAAAGCTGAGAGAAAATACATGAGGCTGTGCGTGTTTCGTGACTGGAGGAAGCGGTGCGGGATCTCGTGACTCGACTTGCTGTACTCGGTGCTGTAGACACCCACCAAAAGACTCAGCACAATGACGTTGAAGAAGGCGGAACTGAAGACAGTCACACTTGCCATGATCCGATCAGCGTCGTCCTCCAGCCCCAAATTTTCCAAGCCAAGGCCAGAGCCAAAGAGCAAGCCCCGGTATGCGGATGTGACCACCCAGCCCGAGACCTTGCTGCTGTGAACCACCAGAAATGCGAAACAAAAGGAGGCGAAGATCATGAGCGTTAAGAGTATGCTTTGCCGGGCGCCGCCACCAAACAAGGAGATGGATATAGCGTGGATCGGAACACCGCCCTCATGCAAGCGACATTGGTAGATGATGAGCCAACAGGTGAGCAAAGCTGTTACAGCTAAGAGCAGCAAGTCCTCCTGCTCTGCGGTCGTGCTCAAAGATAGCTGCAGAGATGCAATCGTGATCCGTGGCGCGAGCCAACTTGCAAGCAGCGAAGAGCGCATGCTCCACATGTGTCTCAAATGAGGCTGGTGGGACAAACGTCGAACGCACCATCTTGCTAAAAGAATGGCCATACCCAGAAGCTCTCTCAAGGCACCTGCACACATGACGATCCAGCAGGTCACCGCAGCGCTTTCACTTCCAGTGCCAAGCCCCCAGTACAATGTGGCACTTAGGTCGGTGATGAACAAGCAAAGCTTCAACATCCACACGTGCTCGAATGCATCCTCCCACAAGCAATAGACTATGCCTTGGACGCTGAGTTGTGAGAAGAGCTTGAGGTCCGCCTTCTTGATCTGTGACAGGGCCATGATAATGTCCACATCCAGCACGTTTGGAAGAAGGAGCGCCTTCACGGCCACCTCGGACTCGTTTCCCCTGGCGGTAAAGTCGGCATGCCACTTGATCCCGGGCTGCTGGTCGAAGGGCTTCTGGCTATCAAACTTCCAGTAGGGCTGCTTCAGCCCATCGCGCAGCGCCACGTCCGGCCGATACGCGCAGCGCATGGGCGCGGAGGACAAGACGCCCGAGAGCCGCATGCTGGTGGGCAGGTTGTGCTTGGCGGCATCCTGCACCTGCGGCTCCACCAGCAGCAGCTCCAGCATTTGGCAGCCCGCCGTGGGCGCCTTGAACAAGATCACCGCCATCAGCGCCCGAGAATCCCCCGAGTCGGCCATCCGCTGGGAGTCCAAGCGGAACCGCAGCAGCAGGTCGCGCTGGGCCTTGCCAGCCAACTCCTTCACCACCTGATTCGCAAAAACAACACGTGGCCAAAATATAGAGAAGTCTTCTCAAAAACGATAGAGGCGGTCGCGCTTTTGGGCGGCCTTTGAGTTTGGAAGCCCGAAAAGTGCCCAGGTTCCGGCTTGGTTTCTTTGCGTCTTCGCCTGCTCGGCCGCGTCGCTGTTCAGCTTTGCCAGGAAGAAGACGTCGCTGAAGGGGGAGGAGTCGGAGTTGAGGCAGGGGGCCAAGAGATGCATCAGGTTCTTGGGGAAGCGGCTGCGATCCAGGGCCGCGAGCTCCAACGGCGTCCTGCCCCGGATCGTCTCATCCGGATAGGTCTCCGGGACGCAGCCGTCCAAGGAGGCACACTGCCGGAGCAAGGCCTGCAGCAAGTTGGAGACCTGTCCTCGCTTCTCCAACCCGTTGACCCCACGCATTGCCACCAAATGCAAGGCCGTGAGGCCATCCTTGTTTGGAGTATGCGCATCTGCCTTGTGGGCCAGTAGCCAGAGAGACACTTCCACATTGCCCGCATTCGCTGCATCGTGTAAGGGCGTGTAGAAGTCCTCATTCCACGCCTCGACTTCGCTGTGATGCACGATGCAGGGCATGTTCACGTACTCGATGCGGGACCCGCCCAATTTGATCACGTGCTTCAGGAGCAGCTCCATGACGGGCAGAGCGCCCAAACCCGCTGCGATGTGGATGGCATCGAGCCAAGTCTCATCCTGGCTGCTGGGCTTCAGTCGGTACTTGGCTTTGGCCGCAAACTCCTCCGGCGTCAAATGGGGCAACAGCCTTGCCACACAGGAACTCTCTCGAAGCTGGGCCGAAACCCAGACTGCGAAGTGCAGGAGCTGCGCGCGCAAGGGCCGACCCTTGTAGATGATAATGGCGGTCAGCTCCTCACTCAGTCCATGCGTGCCGCGACTGCCCTGGACAAGGACTTTCAGAAGTCTGTCCCGGGCCTTTTCCAACTCCTCCAAGTCCAAGCGCTCGTCCATCTCATTGCCAGAATGAAAGAATTCCTCTAGAAAGCGGACGGGATCCGCCTTCAACTTGTCCAAGTTCCGGGAGACACCACGCGGCAACAACTCAGTGCTTCTTTCCCGCGCTGGCTGGTCTTCCAAGCGTGTGTACTTGGCAGGGCCCGGAGCTGTCTGCCATATGCTTTTTCGGCATTCCATGGCCAGTCACGGGATTCTTGTCCAAGTCTCTGGCGTCTGATTGTTCGGATGACTCATTTTGTTTTGGATGGCTCTATTTGTTGGGGTTTTGGCTGTGTGCTCCTTGCTTTTCTTGTTGCCCGTAAGTGTCAATGTTGGGCCGGTTTCAGGGAAACCCAGATAACAAACTGTCCTTTTCTTGAAATATCCATGGGTCGAAAACGTGTTCCTCCCGAAACATCCATCAACATCGAGTCTATTGCCGCGCCTCTTTGTTTGCAAGTGTTTTGTCTTCACCTTCTGGTAGACACTCGCATCAGTGTTCGTGGCAATCCGTGCAGTGTCTCAATTGCAAAGGGCGTCGGCGGTGGGCAAAGTTCAACATGGCAAGCCTTGCGTGACGTCAGGAGCTTGTTCCAGCTTTGGCTGGAGAAACTCCCAAGCTGGCTGCGTCGGCACTGCTGGGACCCAGCTTATGACCTCAGGCTGCACTCGAACTTGCTTCGTCTCCGGTCCAAGTTTGCCGCGTCAGAGGGCCTCACGCGAGGGGCCCAGCTCAGAGGAGCGGGGCTGGGCTGCACGAGATTGGCCCTGGTCCGCAACTTGCTTCTTGCGTTGATGTATGTCGAGACTGAGACAACTGAGATACCCAAAGCGCCCCGGCCTTGCAGGTGCAAATGACTGCGCCTCGGAATGGCAAGCGCGCCAACTGCACTTGCGCAAGCGCGCCATGCCTGGGCCAAGGCTGGCCAGCTGACGGACCTTGGTGAGGCGCTTTGCGGCGGCGCGAAGTCCGGGCATGTCCGGGCCTCTCTCCAGGCACGCTCCGGGAAGTGGCCTGCACCACCGCAAGTGCTCTCAGACCGAGGCCTCGCGTGGCGCAACCGCGACATGTTCCATGGGCTCAAAAAAACAGGCCTGACGGCTGGCATGTGTGACACGACAATGGCCGAGCTGTGGCTGGAAGGCTCCTGAATGGCAGAAACAGTGACAACCAGCCTCTCAACGCCTAGCATGGCCTGGGTACCGGAAGGCATGCAAGGCGTGCAACGCTGGTCCTTGGATGACACTTGGTGAGACGACAGCCCTCTCCCTCCCTCCCTCCCTCCCTCCCTCCTCCCTCCCTCCCTCCCTCTTCCTCCCTCTTCCTCCCTCCCTCTCCTCCTCCCTCCCTCCCTCCCTCCCTCCTCCCTCCCTCCCTCCCTCCTCCTCCCTCCCTCCCTCCCTCCCTCCCTCCCTCCCTCCTCCTCCCTCCCTCCGTCCCCCCGCCCTCCCTTCTTCCAGCACGCGCGCACGCAAACGTCTGGGCCGCGCTGGCGCCGCTCAAGCGTGCTGTCAAAGCCATTGCAGAAAATTCTCTTCGCCGTCGAGGTCTTCCAGGAATTGGGCAAAGAGGCGATGGCCGTTGCGGGTCTGGCGGCTACACCTCCGAGCGCTGCGCGTGGAAAAACGCACCGGAAAACTTAGGAGAGTCAGCCACACTTCTAGGTCCCCAGGGCGATATGCTTCCAGTAGTGCGCGAACAGCCTGGTGCCCGCTGGACTGTTGTGCGTTCCACATGTCCGCAAAACTCACGGAGCTGGATTTGGAAGCCTGCTGCGTGGCAGCTGTCAGATTCTCCACTGCCTCGCACCGGTTCGTAATGCCCACATCCCAGTTCGGGCTTCCGACTCATTCCAACTGAGGTTCTCCAAACTTGGTGACGTAGAATCTGGGCGGACAAAACTGAGGCAACGGAAAACTGGAACCTGAACCCGGCACCAGCCCGGTGACCCATTGAACCTGGTATTCGTTTTGGCCTTACCAGGAGCCGCTGGACTGGACCCATCCACCCCGGTTTTGCGGGTCCTATCTTCACACTTTTGGGGGTTTCTCGAAATGGTCCCTTTTAAGGGAAGCCAACTGTTTTAGTTAGGGGGGCATTATGTTAAGAAACACCCATGCCAATTTGGGAAAGCCGTGTCCCGGCCGGTCCACCCTCCACGCCTCTCCAAGTTCACGTCTGCCAGAGCGCAGTTGTAGAGGCCTTCGCCCGTTGGCCAAACCTGGCCAAAGGCTCCGTGACGGGAGCAATGAGGAATCATAGGGAAAATGCAAAATGAACGACAAATGGCCAAACAGGCCAAGCAAACCAAACCAACCAACTAACCTGTGGCCAGCGGAGAGACAACAAGTCCACCCAGTGCGCCCGTATTCCTCGAGCGTATGCTTCTGCTGGGAAATGAAACCGTGCACGGCCACACGCCACTTCCGATCGGCCGGATTGTCGCGGCATGGCTGGCGCGTGTCTTGCTGCAAGCACGCGCGCGCGCGCAGCGTCTTGCGTCTGCGCCAGCTCTTGGTGCCGCAACTTCCTTTTTTCGCACGGTCATGCTGCCCGCTGCGCTGAGTTTCCGGGCACGATGCGCCGGGTTGTGAGCCGCTCAAGAAATTTGATGTCCTCCAACCGCACGTGGCGCTGGGGACTCCAGGCGTGTCGAGTTGGACGGCCATCTGGTTGATAGTTTCCGCTTGTACTGCGTGCCCTTCTCGCGTGGGGTGGTACGTCTGGTGATAAGGATAGATAGTTAGAATTTTCTGTGTGGCTGCGCGAACTGCAAAGCCGGAGCCTTGCCGCTCCAGCACGCGAGCACGCGTGCCGTTGGCGAAACCGCTTTCCTTTTGCCTGTTGGTTGTCAGCACCACACGCATCCCTGCACACAGCGCCAGTCGTCGCGGCGGCTCTGCCGTGTCCTTTTTCAGGGGCGCATCTTGCCACTTCGTTCACCCGTGCAGCTGCTGCGATTGTCCAGGTCACAATCTCCATGTTTGGACGCAGACATCTTCATCCGTTGGCCTTCTTTCTGTTTCTGAAGCTGCCTTCCGCGCAGGAGGTTTGCTAAATTCCGTCTGCGTCAAGGAATGAAACCGCACTCGTTGCAGGGCGGCTTGGAGACCAGTGTCACTTGCAGACCTTTGGAGGGTGTGAAGCTGTCTCTGTCGTACACGGCGGTGCCAACTTGCCAGCCTCAGCCTGTAGATGGCCTTGCCAGCGGCGGGTTCCAGCTGGCGTTCTGTCGCCCACGAAGACAATCAGAGTGCGCCAGCCCGTGGCATGCCAATATTTGAACAGGCGGCGGCCCACAGCGGCATCCAGCTCTCCATACTCCTCCACGAACAGCACGTCCAGTGCGCAGGTGCTGGGCTGGAGCACCTCCTTCGGCGCGCCAAAGCGCAGGCCATGGCAGGCAAGCGGTTGCGCAGCAAGGCGCTCCGTGCAGCGTTTGACTCCAGAGGTTCTGCGCTTCCCGCGCTAATCGCTCCTGATCTGCATTGAGCTGGCTTCGCTGCTCCTCGTCTTCCGTCTGGGGCACGTCTTGCAGCGCCTGTGTGGTTCGTTGTACGTCAAGTGCGTCCTGTACGCTGCGGCCATGGCCATGATGTTTGTGATGGAAATTGGTTTTGCGGCCGTTATGCTCGAAGTGGCGACACACTTTGGCATCAGAAGCCCAAATCTCTGGGCACATAGACAGCGCCAGAGCAAACCAGCGAATCTGAGGTGGTGCGTGCTCCGGTATCAAACTCTGCAGCTCCGCCTCTGTCCAGTGCGGCAAACGCAGCGGCGCCCAGTGGATGCAAGGCGTCCGCCAGCCAGCGCTCGTTGAAGCTCTCAGCATACTTGCTGACGTGCCCGGTTACGTGCTGCAAGAGCGCGCCAGTCTCTATGGAGAAGTCTTTGCGCATGGTATCAGCTTTGCGGACGTGTCGCGACACCAAGAAATAGTCGACTAACTTTTGCTAAAAAACCTTGTCGTCGGATCCATTCCTCCACCCGCTGGCCAGCTGCCGTGAAGGCGGCGCCCTCTTGCTGGGCAACGCAGATGATGCACCCTTGCTTCTACGCACCTTCGCGCTCCTGTGCGTGAGACCCTTGTCATGCATTTCCCTTTCCCTGCCAAGACAAGCCTTTGACCACTGGCAGGATTTACTAGTGTCAGGAGCCGTCGCTGGACGCAGAAACACACTCTGGCCTTGAAGAGCTGGATGTGCGAGCCAGGCTTCGTGGCCGACTTATGCACGACCGAGCATATGACTACTGGCAGGATCAACCAGTCTTGGGAACTGTCGCTGGACGCATAAACACAATCTGGCCTTGAAGAGCTGGGTGTGGGAGCCAGGCTCCTGGCCGAGGCTGGCTTCACGGACAAGCATGGACCTACGCATGAACACGCCGTCTGTTTGCCAGGCGACCGGCTTGTCAGTGCTTGCGCCCGGCGACGGTTCCCAACACTGGTTGATCCTGCCAGTAGTCATATGCTTGTCTCGGACGGCCGTGCATGGGTCGGCCACGAAGCTGGCTAGCCCCACCAGCCAGCCCTTGCTGTGTTCATGCCTGACTGACAAGGTCCAGCAGCCTCGGCCAGGAGCCTGGCTCCCACACCCAGAAGGCCAGATTGTGTTTTCGTGTTCAACAACGGTTCGACTGGTTGATCCTGCCAGTAACACTTGTCTCGTACGGCCGTGCATGGGTCGGCCAGGACGCTATCCCATCCGCCAGCGCGAGCAAAGTCGACGCGAGCTCGCTGTGGCGCTTGTCCAAGTAACTTTGCAAACGTCGAGACAAGTTGACCTCGAGAACTTGTTCGACAGAACGAGGATCGCCGACTTTAATTTGCGTTTCTGGCTGCGCTGGTTTACCGTGGGCTTAGGGCTGGGTTTAGAGGGTTTGGGGTTGCTTTAGAGTTGGCTTAGGGATGGTTCAACTGACTTAGTGGAGGTTGAGGATGGGTTAAGGTTGGTTTCGGTTGGCTTTAAGGAAGGAAGGGGATTGTTTCACGTTGGCTTATGGTTTTAGGGCTGGTGTGGGGTAGGCCTAGGGCTGCTGTAGATTCGGGTTGGTTTAGAAGCGGTTTAGGGATGGTTCAATGGTGGTTTAGGGCGTTGGCTTAGGTTGGTATTAGGGTTTGGTTTTGAGATGCTATAGGGTGGGGGAGTGTTTAGGTTTGCTGTTTGGGTGCAAAAAGTTATTGTTTGGCTGGGTTTAATGGGGGGGGGGTTAGGGTTGGTTTGGGGTTGGTGGTGCTGAAGGTAGGCGTAGCGCTGGCCCAAAGCTTGGGGTTGGTTAAGGCTTGTTCAGGGTGGGTGTAGGGGTGGAAAAGGAAGATTTGGGGTTGGTTGGGGTTGGCTTGGAGTTGGTTTAAGGCGGTTGCTGGTTTGGTGGGTCTTGGTGGTTTGCTGAACGTTTGTTTAGTGCTGGTTTGTGGGGCCTGGGGGGGAGGTGCTTAAGCGCTGGTTCATGGGTAGGGTTGGTTTAGGATTAGTTTCGGGTGAGTTTAGGGTTGGGAAAGGGTTTGCTTAGGGCGGGCGGATTTTAGGGTGGGTTGCTAACACTATCCTGGCCATAGCTGAGACTTTGGAAAGCCGAGCGGCCCTCCCTCCCACCCTCACCCGCCTCACCCGCCCCACCCACCCCACACCACCCACCCCACCCACCCCACCCACCCCACCCACCCCACCCACCCCACCCACCCCACCCACCCCACCCACCCCACCCACCCCACTCACCCCACCCACCCCACCCACCCCACCCACCCCACCCACCCCACCCACCCACCCACCCACCCCACCCACCCCACCCACCCACCCACCCACCCACCCACCCACCCCCACCACCCACCCCACCCCCACCACCCACCCACCCCGCCCGCCCACCTCTCATTCTATTCCGTGATAACAACCATTTCCTTCGTCAATATGCTGTGTGTATTCATCCTTGACCTCAGGGTCTATCCTTTCCATAAAGACACTTCTCATATCCTAAAGTGATATCTTTCTCGCTGTGGCGCCGTGCGAATCTCAAAGCTCGCTGCTGAACCCTTTGCGGGAATTGATTAAGCAAGTCGACTCTTGCTGTGGCGTCGCTCAAAATTTCTACGTGGCCCGCAAAACCCTTTTGCGGGGATTGTGTATTTCGGCTCCCGGTTTTAAAAAATGAGAAACAGACGGAAAGAGAAAGAGAAAGAGAAGGAGAAAGGGAAGGAAACAGGAAAGAAAGAGAGAGAGAGAGAGAGAGAGAGAG